GTCCAGGAGACAGAATAGCTTGGGTAATGATGAACCCAGCTACTCTCTGCCACAAAGTTTGCTCCAAATGTCCTCTGTTGTCTTCCTATTCGAATTCTTCTGCTCTTCAACTTCAAAAATTATTGTGTGCTCCTTTTTGAAAATGTATTTATCTTATGTTGGAGAATTGTTATCATCTGTAAGTTGTACTTTCTGTATTGATATCCTTTTTTTTTAACATTTATTTTTTGTCTGTAGGACTTTTATTTGACTTTGTTCTGGCATAACCTAGTATGCTAACGCTGCTGGAGTTTTTTTTTTTCTTTCTAAATATTAAACAGGTAAATGTTTTCTAGTTTACTATGACCTATTACCAAACCTTTCTCATAATTATGTAGATACGTTCTTTTTTCATGATTCTTAGTCGTTTCATCTCTTCTGGACTTTTTTTTTCTAACACTCAATCACTGCACATCCTTACAGCATACAAAATAATTTCTCCCAGCATGAATACATCATACATTAGTCCAGTGAAAGTTATTAACATATGCGTTATGATCAACAGATAACTTCCCATTTTTGTATCCATTGTTTTTTTATTTTTTCCCCAGTTCTCTTCCTCTCTCCCTGGTAACTCACCCCCCACACACAGTCTCTAGTATCCACAGTTGCTCTCCCTGCTTTTATACCTTCCAGTCTTTCAGTTTCTGCCATAGAGTAGACATTCGGTATACATCAAGTGGGGACATTCACTGCCTCTTGTTCATAGTCTGACTTGCTTTGCCCTGCATTAAATCTTTCATGTTCATCTTCCTTGTAGCAAATTTCAGGATCTCATCGTATTTTATGGGTGACTAATATTTCATAGTGTGTATGTGCCACATTTTGGCAGTCTGTTCATCTGTACTTAGACATTTGGGTTGATTCTATGGCTTAGCAATTGTGAATAATGCTGCAATAAACATGGCTGTCATGTGTTTTTTTTTATTTTTTTATTTTTTTTTTTTTACTATTTTCCTATTCTCTGTGTAGATATCCAGGTGTGGAATTTTGGGGTCGTAAGTAGGGTTCTGAGGAACCTCTATATTGTTCTCCATAGTGGCTGTGCTAATTTGCATTCCCACCAACAGTGTGAGAAGGTTTTCATTTCACTGCAGCCTTGCCAGCATTTATCATTCCTTTTTTTTTTTAACGAAGTTTTTGCCTTATGGCGCATGCACCACACACACACACACACACACAGAGAGAGAGAGAGAGAGAGAGAGAAAGTGAGAAATTACTCTTCAGAGGAGATGGCCATGCCACAATCCCTTCTTCATTCTCCTCCTGGAATCTTGGGCACACATGCACACATGCTGGGAGTGATTTTCAAGTCTTTATACCTTCCAGTCTTTCAGTTTCTGCCATAGAGTAGACATTCGGTATACATCAAGTGGGGACATTCACTGCCTCTTGTTCATAGTCTGACTTGCTTTGCCCTGCATTAAATCTTTCATGTTCATCTTCCTTGTAGCAAATTTCAGGATCTCATCGTATTTTATGGGTGACTAATATTTCATAGTGTGTATGTGCCACATTTTGGCAGTCTGTTCATCTGTACTTAGACATTTGGGTTGATTCTATGGCTTAGCAATTGTGAATAATGCTGCAATAAACATGGCTGTCATGTGTTTTTTTTTATTTTTTTATTTTTTTTTTTTTACTATTTTCCTATTCTCTGTGTAGATATCCAGGTGTGGAATTTTGGGGTCGTAAGTAGGGTTCTGAGGAACCTCTATATTGTTCTCCATAGTGGCTGTGCTAATTTGCATTCCCACCAACAGTGTGAGAAGGTTTTCATTTCACTGCAGCCTTGCCAGCATTTATCATTCCTTTTTTTTTTTAACGAAGTTTTTGCCTTATGGCGCATGCACCACACACACACACACACACACAGAGAGAGAGAGAGAGAGAGAGAGAAAGTGAGAAATTACTCTTCAGAGGAGATGGCCATGCCACAATCCCTTCTTCATTCTCCTCCTGGAATCTTGGGCACACATGCACACATGCTGGGAGTGATTTTCAAGTCATGGGGTCCAGGACTTGAACTGTTGTCGGCCATGTGACAGTCCAGTGACATAATTGCTATGCCATCTGCTGGCCCCAGTAGTTATCATTCTTTATATTTTAAATCTTAGCCATTCTGACTGGGGCTAAATGGTATCTTACTGTGATTTTGATGTTCAATTCCCCTGTGGTGAAATGTTGAACATTTTTTCACTGGTTCTTTGGCTGTTAGTATGTCTTCTTGGAGAGGTGTCTGTTTAGTTCATTTGCCCATTATTTAATTGGATTGCTTATTTTATTTATTTATGTATTTATTTTTGCAGATAAGCTATTTGAGTTCCCTATAGATTCTGGTTATAGATCAGTCCCTTAACTGAGGCATAGTTTGCAAATATGTTCTTCCTTCTGAATACTGCCTCTTCACTGCAGTTATTGTTTCCTTTGTTATGCGGCTGTTTAGTCTGATGTAGACACATCTGTCTATTTTCAGGATTATTGTCTGTATTTGGGAGATCTTATTGGTTCTTTGCCTACTCCAATGTCTCTAAATATCCCCTTTGTTTTCCAACAGTAGTGTTAAAAGTTTGAGGTTTTACATTTAGATCTTTGATTCAGTTTGAGTTGATATTTGTTAGTGGTGAAAGATGGGGATCCAGTTACATTTTTCTGCAGGTGACTATCCAGTTTTTCCAGCACCATTTCCTGAAGAGACTTTCTTTTCCCTAGTTGATTCTCTTCTGCCCTTTGTCAAAAACCAGTTGGTTGGATGTTTTGGAGTATATTTCTGTGGTCTCTCCTTTGTTCCATTGGTCTACATGCCTGCTTTTGTGCCAGTACCATGCTGTTTTGGTACTGTTTTATTGTATGTTTTGAGGTCAAGAAGTGAGATGCTTCTGACTTGATTCTTTTTGCACAGTATTGCTTTGATGGTATGGGGCCCTTCAGGATTCCAGACACGTTTTATGGTTGCTTTTTCTATTTCTGTGAAGAATAGCTCTGATAATTTGACCAGAATTGCATTAAATTTATAAATTAACTTGGATGCATGTTGTTTATATTAATATTTCTAATCCAGGAATATGAGAACTCTTTCCACTTTTGTGTATTATTTTCAATTTCTTTTTCTCAGTTTTTTATAGTTTTCCTTGTAGAGGTCTTTCACTTGTTTGGTTAGGCTTAGTCCTAGGTATTTTATTACAAATTATTATTATTTGTGGCTATTATAAGTGAAATTGCTTCATTAAATTCTACCTCAATCTGTTCCTTGTTAATGTATAGAAATGCTATACATTTTTGTATGTTGATTTTGTATTCTGCCACTTTACTGTGTTTGTTTATCACTTTCAGGACTTCTTTTGTGGATTATTTTGAATTTTCTATATGTCCTCTGCAAATAGAGATTATTTTACTTCCTCTTTTTCTATTTGAATGCCTTTTATTTTATTCTCTTATCTGATTGCATTGGCTAAGACTTCCAGTACTATGTTGAAAAGGACTGGAGAGAGTGGACAATGTTGCCTTGTTCCAGTTTTTACCGGAAAAGCTTTCAGTCTTTTCTCCATTCAATATGATATTAACTGTGGGTTTTTTATATATGGCTCTTATTATGTTGAGAAATGTCTCTTATATGTCAATTTTACTGAGAGTCTTAATGATAAGATGTTGTAGTTTATTGAATGTGTTTCTAGCATCAGTTGGCATTATCATATATTTTTTATTTTTCCTTCTGATAATGTGATAAATTACATTTATTATTTTGTATATGTATTTTATAGTTTACATTTATTATGCCGATTTCAATATAATTTTTCTTTTCATTCTTTTTTTGTTTTAGCCACAAGATACATGAGTTTGTCAGAGAGCCCAAGAGATATAGAAAAAGGGAAAGTGAAAAACCTCTCAGGAGGATGGGCACACCACAATCCCTTCTCTTGCATTCTCCTGAGATTTGGGGCATGTATGAACCACCCTTGTTGAACCACCCTGGAACCACCCTTGTAACCCTGGAATAAAGCCTTCCTAGTCATGGTGTATAATATTTTTAATGTGCTGCTGGATACAATTTGGTAGTATCTTGTTGAGGATTTTTGCATCTGTATTGATCAGGGATATTGGTCTGTAGTTTTCTTTTTTGATGACGGAGGCTTCATAGAACGAGTTTGGTAGGGTACCTTCCTTTTGGATCTTTAGAAATAGTTTCAGTAGAACTGGGGTTATTTCTTCTTTAAATTTTTTTTGGAATTCAGAAGTGAAGCTATCAGGACTTAATTTTTTCTTTATTGGAAGACTGCTTATTACTAATTGAACTCATTGCTTGTTATGGATCTATTCAGGCTTTCTATGTCTTCCTCATTCAATCTTGGTAGACTGTATGTATCCAGGAATTTATCATATCATCTAGGTTTTCTTGTTTGTTAACATTTAATTGTTCATAGCATTCTCTCGTGATCTTTTTATTTCTGCTAAGTCTTCTATAATATTGCCTGTTTCATTGCTGATTTGATTTATCTGGTTCCTTTCTCTGTTCTTGCTTAGTCCACCTAATGGTGTGTCCATTTTGTTTATCATCTCAAAGAACCAGCTTTTGGCTTATTAATTTTCTGTATAGTATGGTTCTTTTATTCTTGATCTCATTTATTTCTTCTCTAATCTTCATTATTTCTTTTCTCCTTGTTTTTTTTATTTTTTTAATTTTTTTGTGGGTTATTTTTCCAGTTCCCTGAGTTGTGTTGTTAGGTTGTCTCTTTGCCACATTTCTTTTATATTTTTTTTTTCTTGTGGGTACTAAATTCTATGAATTTCCCTCTTACAACTGCTTTCATTGTGTTCCATAACATTGGTTTCAATGAAACTTTGGATTTCAGTCTTAATTTCTGCAGTGATTGTAAAGTCATTCAGGAGTTGTTTTTTTAATTTCCATATATTTGTATGTTTTCAAGGGTTCTCCCCCCCATTCCCAGTCATAACCATCAAAAATATCTTTAATTGCTCTGTAGCCTTTACAAGCAAGTGTAGTATCTGTCCTTACCGGTTTAATATCTGATGTGTACTCTATCCTTGGACTACATACTAAATGGGCTTTGGGAGCAGGGAGCTGTCATAGAAGTTTACTCCATCCACTTCACTCAGTGACCTGGCATTGTGGTGCTCCCAGGACAGTGTGGCCCTCAGGAGAGATTTTCAACAATGTTTCAGCCATTGATAGCTGACCTGGAGTCAGGGGACAAAATTGGCCTTGGCCGAGAGCCACTGAGTTAGAAAATGGTAGCTCTATGTAGTAACTTGGTTGTGTGGTATCTGTGATTGTTTTTTGGAAACAAGATTCATTAAACACAAAAACAAACAAACAAACAAACAAAAACTTTTTAGAAAACTCATTAGGGGACCAGCAGTTAGCATAATGGCTATGTCGCTGGACTCCCATGTAGTCGACTGCGGTTCGCATCCCAGACCCGGTGGCTTAAAACTCACGCCGGGCACATGTGCGTGCATGCCCAAGATCCCAAGAAGAGAATGGAGAATGGATGAGAAGGGATTGCGGCGTGGCCATCCCCCCTGGGGGTGATTTCTTGCTTTCTGTCTCTCTGTCTCTCTCTCTCTGTCTGGAGAGTGCACGCACTCTATAGCAAAAAACCTCTCCAAAAAGAAAAAAAAAAATAGAAAACACATATTAGGGGCCAGCAGGTGGCATGGTGGTTAAGGCACTCCAACATGGTCAATCACAGTTTGAGTCCTGGACCAGTGGCTTGAAAAGGCACATGGGCATACATGCCCAAAATCTCAGGAGAATGCAAAAGAAGGGATTGTGGTGTGGCCATCCCCCTGAGAAGTGATTTTTCACTTTCCCTTTTTCTATCTCTCTTGGTCTCTCTGGCAAGCTCATGTACCCTGTGGGGGAAAAAAAAAAGAATGAAAAGAAAAATTATATTGAAATCAGCACAGTAAATGTAAACAATAAAATATATTGACATTTATTTTTAAATGGTATATTAAAATATCTCAATGCCATATATTTTCCCAAATGTTGGATTCCTCTTTTCAAGTGTGGATTATGTAAAAATTATGTGCTACCTGTGCATGCCAAATTTATTTATTTATATGATTTATTTTTGCTCTAAAATATTTAGTTTACTTTTGCAGACAAGTTTATTTTTCTGACTGTTGGATATTAATATTTTATGCGGAACTCAATGGACAGCTATTTGTAAAATCATATGAAAATATTCGAGTCATTTTATTTTAAAATTGTGCTGCAATTTTATGCAATTCACTTATAAAATGAACCTATTTTTCCAGTTTTTAAAACTCACTAACATTCCCCTAAGTACCTTGGCAGGAGGTTTTTAATAAATGTAGTATCATATTTTTCTTTTTGTTGTGTTTATCTTCTTACAGAAGGCTAGTGACTAGTAATATTTTATTTTCTCCTTTCTCTATCAACTGGTATGTGAATTCAGACTTATTTTTGTTCTATTTAAAATGGAAAATATGGTTAGCTACCTGACATAGTGACCCATAAAATCATTCTCTTATATGAGAGCTGTTTAAGATTCAAGGTGTGATTGAAATGCAATAGTATAATTAGTTTCAGAGTAATTTTTATTAGGAGGTAAGACATTTTAAACAGTACTATTTACATTAAATATTTTCATATTTCCACTCTCAGATAAAACTCAAGTAATTCAATAGTAAAAATAAATATTTTATAATTTAAAAAAGTATTTGCCTTTACAGTACACCATAATTACATTCAAAAATAAAAAAAAGTTAGTTAATTGCTTATTATAATGGTAAGAGAGATCTAGGTTTTTTGTATTAATGCAATTATTATACTACAACTCCAACTAAAAACAGTCACTTCTTTTGGAAATCATTGTTAATAATTGCAGATACTATGTAGACAGTCTGGAACAGCTTCTTCACTAAAACCACAAGTCATCTTCACCTCTGTCTTTGTGAAAGTGATTTTCACCACTGTATTTCTTTATTTTCATATATTTTATTTTATTTTAACTTCTTTTATACATTCAATCACTATACATCACTTAGCTTGTAAAGTGAGTTTTCCAACATAAATACACTTCACGCCAGTCCAGTTTAGGATAGTATACACATTGTAATGAACAGATAATGATCCATTTCTGTGTTCCATAAATGCTGTGCCTCTCTATTTTTCTCACACTGACTTGCCAATGACTGCAAGCAACTGTACTTAATAGCTCTGGATTTCTAAAAAACAACAGCAAAAACAAAAAAATCCAAAAAACAAAGCAAAAAATAATAAACAAAAATACAAATATAAAATGAATCCATATTTCCAGATTTTAAAAACTCATTTACATCCCTCCAAGTACCTTAAGGGAGGTCTTTAATAAAGGTGGTATAATATTTTTTTCATTTTGTTTTGTTCATCTTCCAAGATAGAAATGTAATTTTTAATTCACTTTTAGCTGAAAAGAGTAGCAATCACTTCTTTCTTGGTAGGTACAAAGCTCACCAACGAAGCCTGTATTAGTAGCAAGGAATGGGGGCACAGTTTGATGAGGCGGCTGAACTTCGAAACCATGGCCCAAGGAGGTGCGAAACCGCTGGTAGTTGGAACGGGCTGGTTCAGGGAAGCACAAAGGCCAGTGAAGACTGTTTATACCTAGACCTAGGAATGCCCAGAGTCTTTCCGAGGTTATATGTATTTTTGGCACACCTTAAATACTACAGTTTTTGGTGGAATATCATAATGGATTAGCAGACTTGAAAGAAAGTAAGCCAGCCCCCAGGAATGACAACACGCTGGTTTACATCATGCATATCCTCAAAGTACGTGAGAAAGGCGCACACGGAGCCCGTTCCCTTATCTACCTTTCAGCATCTGTTGTCAGCTCGTTCACTGCTCTTAGAACGCCCCGCGCATACGCCCAAGACAAAACTCATACGTCTCAGGGTACCGGAGCTCCTTCTCTGCAACTTTTTGGCACTGTGTGCTTCCTGCCTCCTTCGCTCAGTTTTATCAACTCCAAACTTATCCCGTGATCCACTCTGAGCTACACTGGCTGGCATAGCTCTCTAGCAGCCTGAGCAAATAGACTGCAGTCTGATGCTGTTTAGCAGCACACGTGTGGCAGCGATGTGGAGCCTGCCGAGCCAGGGTGAAAGACGATCAGCCCCTCATCTTGTTGAAAGTCTGTGAACTGGGCCAGTCCAGGGATCATTCCACCCTCTTCCACCCAAGCACATGGCAGACATTACCAATCAATCACCACACCCACCCCAGTGAGATGCCTTCTCAAACACCCCTAGCAGCCCTGGCTCATTTATTCAGTTGGGACTAAAGCTGAAACCTCTGTAGCATCATTATTCTAATTCCCTCTGATGCTGAAGAGTGATGTGACCTTGAGCCAACCATACCTCTAGGTCTTGATCTTTTCATCTGTAAAACAAAGGAGGCTCCGTTTTTAATTCTCCCATCCGTTAGCCTGCCTGGAAGAAGGACAATGGACTGTATAAAATCTGATATTTCTCCCAATCTATACTTCTATGAAAAACATGTAATAGGTCTCCTGTGAGAATTTGAATACATATGTCACTTGTTTATTATGACTTACATGTGAGCAGATTACATTAATTCGAAGTTTTATGGCTCTTGGAAAAACATTTATAACAATTCTATTATAAAGCAAATCTAGATTATTGACCAGAAATTATTTCTCGGTGCTGCTCAAGAATTGTGTAAATTCAATCCAACTAACAGTAAAGACAATTTTAAGAACATATTTTTTTTGTAAAAATTTTCAAGTCTTAGTAATTAACTCCAGCTTCCAATCATACTGTTTTTAGCACTGGTGTTCACATGAGAACAATCCGACCCAAATTCACTTAACATATGGAGCTGCAGCTGTTCCACAGAAATGAGCTGAAGAAAGCCCTGATGTTCTCTTAAGTGCAGGTATAGTGACTGAAAAGCCAAATGAAGGGTTGCAATCAGCTTCCCGCTGTGCAGTGTTAGAGACCTGCCACTGCTAGCAATCTGATTATGGCATGAACACTTCTTTGGAAACGGCTAAACTTTTGGAGGGAGGGGCAGAACTGTACATACAAGGCATGAGATCATGGTGCTTAAAACTCCAGCTTCTGGAGCAGCTGTCACTTGAGTGACCTTGGGTGGCCTTGGGAAACTGGACAGTCTGTGCTGTTTCTACTTGTATGATGAGGGGGCAGCACTTATCACAAGAGTCCCTATGTGGCTAACTTGGATAAGGTGTGTGTAGTGCTTAAAACGCTGTCTGTCAACTAGTAAGGCTCCAACAAATATATTCTTATCGACAAAGGCAAGGCGGTGCGAGTTGTTAGTGGCCATCTCCAGAGCAAGCTCCCTATAGCCAAGGGAGAAAGAGCTCATCCCATGGCGTCCTGTTTCTCCAAGGCTACTCATGACATTTGGGCATCCACGAGGGCGCCATGGGTGGTGTGCAGTATGAGCAGACTTCCGTGGCTCATGAGCAGCTGTGAGAGTCTGTTGCCTGCCGGGTAAATGAGGCTGGAGCAACAGTGGCTTCAGGGTCAGCCTGGAAGGCTGAGTGCGGGGGAGCTGGGCATGCTGAGGCCAGTCGCTGATGAGGAGAGCCCAGTGACCGTCTACCTGCCCCTTGTGATATGAGGCTCTCAGCCAGAGGGTATCACAGGGCTGGTGACTGAGACTCCAGAGACTCCTGTTTTCTATTCTGACTTGGGTGAGGCCTCCGCTTCCTCACCTGCTGATTTGGAACTCCGGAAATGAATGCATCTTTTTATTCTTTCTTTCTTTTTATTTTCCTTATTTTTTAGAGAGAGAGAGGATTTTTTGGTTTTTGTTTTTTTTGGTTTTATTTTGCGTTTTGTGTTGTTCTGTTTTGTTTTGCTATAGGGTGCTTGCCCTCACTAAAGAGATAGAAAGACAGAAAATGAGAAATCACCCCCACCCCCAGGTCAGATGGCCATTCTGGAATCTGTTCTCTACCCTCCTTTCGGGACCTCGGGCACACATGCACATGCACCTGGTGTGAGTTTTAAACCACCGGGTCCAGAATTCAAACCGCGGTTGACTACATGGAAGTCCAGTGACATAACCATTATGCCATCTGCTGGTCCCATATAAATGTAACATATTATATTTATTGTTTTGTTTATGTTGAACCA